TTTCCCATTATATTTAGTCTGCACCAGGGCCTGTATCAATCATATATCCAAAACCCACTGCCACTGAGTTGATTCCAACTCATAGTGATCGTATAGGGTTTCCAAGGCTGTAAATCTTTACAGAAGCAGACTGCCACATCTTTCTCCTGCAGAGCAGCGGTTAGGTTTGAACCATGGTCCTTGTGGTTAGCAGCCGAGTGCTTTAACCACTGTGCCACCAGAGCTCCTATCAATCACATATATATCCTGACAAATAGTGAATGCCCAATAAATATCTGTTAAATGAATAAAGTATTTGTGGCGCTTTGGGAAATTAAATGTTGAATCTTTGGGAATGTAAAGAAATCATTTACTTAGAAAATCTAATGCATTTAGAAGAAAATGTGCTGAGTAATAGCAGCATTTCCCTGCCTCTCAGATTAGGTAATTTTTACCAGCCCTTGAGAGATAGGAGGGCAAGGGGGAAGCAAGGTACGAGTTGATAGTATAATCGTCGCTGTCCAGCGGATTCCGACTCATAGTGACCCTATAGGACAGAGTAGAACTGCCGCATAGGGTTTCCAAGGAGCAGCAGGCGGACTCAAACTGCTAACCTTTTGGGTGGCAGCCATCGCTCTCAACCACTGTGCCACCAGGGCAGGAAAGAAGGTGAAAAAACAAGCAAACAAAACTAGGGAGATGTAAGTGCAATGAGACCAGGGAACAAGACCCTAGGAGAATGCTCAGAATTACACATAGATCCCCAATGTCAAGTATGGGTCAGGAAATTAGCATGAAGGTAGCATTATAGCTTACCCTACAAAGTTTCCTTCCCCCTATAAGGCACAGGAGCCCTGGTATGCAGTGGTTAAGCACTTGGCGGCCAATCAAAAGGTCCATGGTTCAAACTCAACAGCTATTCTGCGAGAGAACGATGTGGCAGTCTGCTTCCATAAAGAATTACGGCCTTGGAAACCCAATGGGGCAGTTCTACTCTGTCCTATAGGGTCGCTATGAGTTGTAATTGACTCAACGGCAATGGGTTTATAAAGTACAGGAGGAGCCAGTGACTTAATTTTGCAGAAGGGAACTTTGCTATGTTGTTTTATTAGAGAGCTGGGCTGACAGAGCCCTGTGACTGGAACAAAGGCCAATTAATCTTTAAGGATTAATGGTAAGAGAAAACCAAACGAGGAAATCTCAGGATGGACGGGTGAGACATACACCAGAAATCTCTTTTGCCAACTCCCATCCTGAACCATAACTGCCTACAGGGAGAAAGAGGTGATCCAGAATTGATTGTAAATGATGGCATATAGTAAAATTTTTGCATTTCTGGCACGCCAGTTTGTGATTTGTGATTCATACCTGTACATCAGTCTTTTCTCCCTACTTCCTTTGCATTCTCACCTTTCTTCCACCAGTAAACTGTAAATCCTTAAATCCGAAGCAGTAATTTGTACTGATCTTTCCATTTCTTAAAGTTTCTTGTCCATATATGGTAGGTGTTCAATACATTTTACTGATTTGAATTAGTAAACCGCAGTAGAAATGTGTTCTTCTTTTTGCCGCGGAACATATAGTTTATTTTAGAAACCACAGAGTCCATATGCTTTCATTGAAGCCGCAGGCTTAGTGCCAGGAGTGAAGCAAGAGACCCAAGTCTGCGTTATTAGAAAACAGCTACTTTTTGTGCCACAGCAGAGCTTCCTAACCACTGCTGATCCCGTATCAGCAGCAAACCAGGGGCTGGTGTGGGAGATGTGAGAACGACCTCTTGCTAAGGCACTTCAGTTTAAAGTTGCGGCAGGATTTTGTCACCATGAAGAGAAAGAGAGCGCCTTTGTGAGAACCAAGCTAAGTAGAGGAGTGTCTGACAAGATACGGAGAGAGAGAGAGACGGTCAACATTGTTTAAGTCCAGGATCCAGCCATGCCTGACATCAGAAGTAGCTCTGGACTTGTTAGGCACAAACCTGCTGCCGTCCAGTCGATGTCGACTCATAAGTGACCCTATAGGACAGAGCAGAACTGCTCACAGGGTTTCCAAGGAGTGGCTTGTGGATTCCAACTGCCAGCCTTTTGGTTACCAGCCAAGCTCTTAACCACTGAGCCACCAGAGACCTTGAAAATCCTTTTTTGCTAAAGACAACTTAGAATTTTTTACATGTGCAACTCACGCATAGTAAATAATACATAAACCTTACCAAAAAAAAAAAAAGTTTTCTACTTTGAACTCTCTCAACCAAGATTGCATTAGATGTGTCAAATAAGCGAATTCCACAGTTGAAATTCCTATTGCAAACATCCTGCTGTAGGAAAGGTCACAGCCTCTTTTGTAAACAGGGGAAGGGAAGCTACTGGACTTGGGAATTCAGATCCAGCCTCGGGTGCCTGCAGGCCACAAAGCTCAGATCACTAAGACAATGCTCTTTCCAACCAACCAGTGTCCTCTGACACCGCAAACTATGTGGTGAGGCAAAGGGCCACAGTGAGGACATTCTTCAGTTTGTTAACTGAATTACAGAAAAGCCTGGCTAATTTTTTTTTTTTTTTAACATTGCAGAGTCTATCACACTTCTGAAAAAATCATATTGCCTGGTCATACTTACAGATGGTTAATTTTCCTGTAAGGAAAAAAAATAAATTTAAGTCTCAATTCCTGCCCTGAGCATCAAATCATGGCTCGACCATATTGGACTCTGCTGTGGCATAAGGTATACAAGGCATAGTCTGATTAGCATGTTGATATTGTATTCCATTATACTGCTGAAGTTATGAATATATAGGTCATTACTAATGAAGTCTCTTAAATTTAAAATCATGGTTAGCATCTGAACATTCAGAGAAGTCTTAATAAGTCTCTGGAAGTCCAAAACCCAGCAAATTCTCCATAAATATTTCAATTTTTTCCTATGAGGAGGGTGGCTGCCAAACCTCAAGCTAAGAAACTGTTATATGTAAAGTTTTCTTTGAAAAGTAATTAATCGTTACAGCATTATTCACAAAAGCAAAAAGATAGAAAGAACCTAACTGCCCATCAACAGATGAATGGATAAACACACTATGGTACATACACACAATCGAACACTACACAATGATAAAGAACAATGATGGATCTGCGAAATATCTCACAACATGGATGAATCTGGAGGGCATTATGCTGAGTGAAGTAAGTCAATCACAAAAGGGCAAGTGTTGTATGAGACTACTATTATAAAAACCCAAGAAAAGGTTTACACACGGAAGAAAACAATCTTTGATGGTTACAAGGGAGGAGAGGTGTGGGCAGGGGAAATTACTAACTAGATAGTAGACAAGGGGTAACTTTGGTGAAGGGAAAGACAACACATCATATAGGGGAAGTCAGCACAACTTGATCGAGGCAAAGTCATAGAAGCTTCACAGACACATCCAAATACATTGAGGGAACAAGTCGCTGGGTCTGAGGGCTGGAGACATCCGGGTCAACTGGCTTAACATACTTCATACAGAAAATGTTTTACATCTTACTGTGGTGAGTAGTGTCTGGGGTCTTAAAAACTTTGAAGTGGCCATCTAAGACACATCTATTGGTCCCATCCCATCCAGAGCAAAGGAGAATGAAGGAAACCAAAGACACAATGAAAATATTAGTCCAAAATACTAATGGACCACAGGAACCATAGCTTCCACCAGGCTGAACCCAGATAAACTAGATGGTGCCTGGCTACCACCACTGACAGCTCTGACGGGGATCACAATAGAGGGTCCCAGATAGAGCAGGAGAAAAATGTAGAACAAAATTCAAATTCATAAAAAAAGACCAGAATTGTTGGTCTGACAGAGACTGGAGGAACCCCCGAGACTATGGTCCCTGGACACCTTGCTAACTCAGAACTAAACCCACTCCTGAAGTCCACCTTTCAGTCAAAGATTAGACAGGCCTATAAAACAAGCAATAACACAGGTGAGGAACATGCTCCTTAGGTCAGTCAAGCCTGCGAGACCAAATGGGCAACACCTGCCCAAAAGGCAAGACGAGCAGGTAGGAAGAGACAGGAAAACTGGAGGAATAGACATGGGGAACCCAGGGTGGAAAGGGAAAGGGGGAGACTGCTGACTTATTGTGGGGATTGCAAAAAATGTCACAAAACAATTTATGTATAAATTTTTGAATGAGAAACTAATTTGTGCTGTAAACTTTCACCTAAAACCAAAAAAACCTGTTGCCATTGAGTCGATCCGACTCACAGTGACCTTATAGGACAGAAGAGAACTGCCCCATAGGGCTTCCAAGGAGTGGCTGGTGGTTTCGAACCACCAACCTTTTGGTTAGCAGCCAAGCTCTTAACCACTGTGCCACCAGGGCTCCTAAAGCACAACAAAACTTTTTAAAAAGTTTAAAATATTTGAAACTTTCCATACTAATAAATTTTTTTAAGAAATCATAAAATATTGGGAAGAAAAATTTTACTTTGGAAAACTCAAGAGCTGGAAATAAGTTTAAGGTCTGGAAATACTTCACATACTGACCATACGGCAGCATCTTCAGGAGGAGGGTTACTGGAGGCAAATAATAACATCAGAAAACCTAGCAGGAGTAAACTGTCATCTGGGGTGAGAAAGTTGAATACTCTTTCTAATCAAGACCTCTGCCAGCTATCTAGGAGCCCTGGTGGCGCAGTGGTTAAAGCACTCGGCGGCTTAACAAAAGGTCAGCAGTTTGAACCCACCAGTCACTGTGAGAGAAAGATATGGCAGCCTGCTTCCATAAGGAACCCTGGTGGTACAGTGGTTAAGAGCTTTGACTGCTAACCAAAAGGTCAGCAGTTCGTATCCACCAGCCGTTCCTTGGAAACCCTAAGGGGCAGTTCTACTCTGTCCTACAGGGTTGGTACATGTCAGAATCAACTCTACGCCAGTGGGTGTGGGTCTGGGTTTGTTTTTTGTTTTTGCCAACAACCTGTCAAAAAGCAAGGAGACAAAAGGGCCCCCGACCCACCACTTTCATAACTAGTGTTCAGTGTTCCCCAAACTTGCCTTCCATCAAGAAGCACTCGTATTATTTTCCGCAACAGACACAATGGGTACCTATATGAAAAGTAAGTTTAGAAAAAGTTTTCCAAATTTTCAGTAATCAAACATTAATCAAATTATTAAACCTTATAATTTACATGAAACAGTTTAACTCACTAAATTAATAAAACCTCATCCAAAATTAAAGAAACTAGATATATTTAGAATAAATTGATAAAGTCTTAGCCCAAGTCAAAGAAATTTTACCTATTCAAATAGGCTTTGAAATACTGTCTATTGCTGAGTGACCTTCATTAGTCCTTTATCATCTGGAACACCACCACCAGACAATTAAGGTTTAAACCAGTAATATTTTTTAAACCAATTCTTATCTTTCCATGGCACTGGTTTAACTATTTCCTTAGACATAAGAAGATAAGTCAGTTGCAGAAATGAAAACCTTTCTCTCTGGTCAGGTTATGCTGATCTCCCTAAACCACTGTCAACTTTACAGCAAGACTTGCCAACTTGAACCCCAGGTATTAACGTGGCCCATGCATCTTTCCTTATGCCCTCAGCCCAAGGCTGAGAATGAGGAAACAAGGAGCAGGGAGTGATGAGAAACCTCACATTCAGCTTTGCTTTTTCTCAGCCATACCAAGGAATATCATTTACACAAATGTAAGGAGCCGTGGTGGCACAATTTAGTAATAGGCTGCTAACTGAAAGGTTGGTGGATTGAACCCACCGAGCGGCTCCAGGGAAGAAAGACCTGGTGACCTGCTCCTGTAAAGATTACAGCCAAGAAAACCCCACGGGGCAGTTCTTCTCTGTCACATGGGGTCACCATGAGTAGTAAAAACGATTTGACAGCACCCAACAACAAGGTGCTAATAAATTCAATAACCCGTTAAAAAAACCCATTGCCCTCAAGTCAATTCCGACTCAGAGCCACCCTACAGGACAGAGGAGAACTGCCTCATAGGCTTTCCAAGGAACAGCTGGTGGATTTGAATGCTGACCTTTTGGTTAGCAGCCAAACACGTAACCACTGGGCTACCAGAGCAATTAAAACTCCTTTCACAGTCCATTGAAACTGCTACTGATATATTGATAAAGCTTTGAAAAGTAATTAAAATGACTATATATATTGAAGGGGTAGTAGGTACACTTTCAGTTTTGACGAAGGAAAAGTCACAGTCCTAAGTTCTAATACATATTGGCATGAAGCTTGCTGATACCACACAAGAAAACCTAGATTATGGGGCTCATGAATCAAGAGGCTGCAGTCAGTGATATATATGAAAAAAACAGAGTTACAGCATAATACTATTACTAACATATTTCTTTATATGTAAATGTGGGTATTTTTTAAGGAGGTGGATACAGAAAGAATATTTTACTTTTACTTTCTGAGTAAAGAGAAGCAATATTAAATCCTATCATTTTGTTCTTCAATGAGATAGCCCAATTTAAGATTGAATGACCTGTGTTGAAATTACAGGAGATTTACTCCTTACATGCTGATAATGAATTATACCAGCATTACATTTTGATACATAGAAAAAGCTTAGAAATTAAGGCCCACAAAGCTTATTTAAGCAAACCACAACTATTTATTTTGGGACAGCGAGCTGTTAATGCCCCTCTAAACCCTGGTGGCGCAGTGGTTAAGAGTTTGGCTACTAACCAAAAGGTTGGCAGTTCAAATCCACCAGCTGCTCCTTGGAAACCCTATGAGGCAGTTCTAATCTGTCCTGTAGAGTCACTATGAGGCAGAATCAACTTGATGGCAATGAGTTTATGCATTACTGTGCATAATCACAAGTGGACATTTTAATAAAATAAATGTAATATCATAAAACAATGTAAATATAATTACGAGAAATGTACCAAACACACCTCTCACTTCACCCTTAAACTTTTCTATTGCCAGGTAGGGTTTAGAAATAGCCCATTAGTTGGTAATTTTTTAAAAATGTGAGGCAAAGCCCCCATGATGCTGTACTGGGAATCCTGTTTCCTTTGCTGGGCTTCCTCCCCGCCAGCTTTGCATCTGAATCCTGCTTTTGCTTGGAGGTTATGTGTAAACCCCATTGCGCGTGTTGCAGTATAATTAAGAATGTTGCTCACAGAACTTGTAGGAACTCTCTACTTGTAAACTCCTTAAAAGTAACTTGCCTGCCTGCCCTTGGGGAGCAGTCTTGGCAGCAGCAGCTCTGACTGACTCCTTTTCCTCATGCAACGAAATAAAGGTACCTTTCCTGTTCTCCCACCTCAGTCTCTCATTTATTACCCAATACAGGTTATGCCAGGCAAGAACCTGGGGTTTCTACCCGGTAACAAGTATATTAATGGTTTGTATTTTAAGCAGCATGAAAATGTCATATAATCTAGGACCACCAGCTATTCTTCGTCTTTACTCTGAGTTAATCAAGAAGTGGGCCTATAACTACAGGAAAATGTAGATTTAGAGAAACTATAGACAATGATGGATGACGAAGCAAAATAAAACAAAACAAAACAAGCAAACAAAAAATTATGTACGGTCGAGACACTCTGGTAAAATTTATAATCTATGAAAATAACACTTTTTTTCCTCATTCATCTAAGTTCACATAAAAAAGAAAAGAAAAAAAAATGTTGATTGCCTACTCTATGACCAGCATAGTTGGAAATGTTTAAAACACCTTCTCATTTGATCTTCAAAACAGTCCTACTTAGAATGTGCTAGTAAACCCAATTCACAGATGAGAAACTGAGTCTCAGAGGGAACTTGCTCTGGTTACACAGTTAATTAAGAGGAAGGACTAGAATTTAAACTGAAGTGTGAGCTTGGCCCAAAGCAGCTACACATTCCAATGTGGTCTCATGATGTGGTGCAAAAAACTGAGTCTTCCCAAACAAAATAAATAATTCAATGTGCTTACTTCTTAAACTGCAGAGAATTATGTCTTATCAAGATTATTATTTGCATATAAGGCAATGTGTACAAGGACTTCTGTGACTTTACCAGCTAGTAGGGTCAACAGATCAAACAATACTTCCCTTTGGCCTATATCAACTTCCTTTTATTTTGAAACACCAAATCCTTATTTCCAAATACTGAGCAATCTCCCAAGAATAAAGATTTCCCGAACAGAATAAAAGAGTCAAATCACTCTTAAGCAAGGATTCTTCAAAGTTTTTTTTTTAATCTTACAAAAAATGAAGGATAGAATTTACTCATTTTACTAAAATTTTGTTTAAATACGTTAGTGAGCCAAATTACCAATTCTCCTTAATCAATTTAAACAAGATAAACAGAATACAAGTTATAACTTATTTTGATTATTCTAACCTCCAACATAGTAATTTGCAAACACCTCAAGAGTTAGTCACTCCACAAGCACTCCAATAAAAACTCAGCACAGTAAGTAGCACTTTATACTAGAGACCTGTGATTTCTCTGAACTGTTCGTACACAAATGTTCAGACTAGCTCATTATTAATTCAGGCATTTCCCCATAGCTCAATAAAAACTCCTATGAAAGCAAGAAGCAGGATACATGTTCTCTAAGAGGAGAAACTGAAAACCTTATCTCCTAGAACATTCGTGGCCAGTCAGACTCTCAAGCTCCCTGTGGGCCGGGATCACGTATCTTTGTGTCATTTTTTCCAGCTCAGCATTAGTGTGGAGTAGCAGAAGACAATGAAATGTTTGATGATACTAAGTGGAAATGGGACATTTCCAGCCAGCAGTGTAAATCCCCTTCCCTTACTGTTATCTGACAATTCAGATCAAGAAAAGGTATGACAGCACTGAGGTCCACAAAGGTACAGGAAGCAGCACACAACACCAGAGTGGCCTCATGGGTTTGATACAGACAGGGCTCGAACAGCTTCGCTCCTTCTCACACAGTGACTTCTGTACCACAAATTGTTTCACAAATGAGCTCAGATGTTCACAGGGAGGTTCAGGCGAGTGTGTGGATGGCCTGGCACTTTTCACATGAGGTGTGGGAACCCAAACATCTGCCTTACCGGCATTACAGCAATGGTATCACTTTCTGATTTCTGCCCGGTGATGTATCAAGGTCATACCAAACCCATAACATTGTAACAAAGCTTTGAGAATGCCTTTTATTAAGACACTTAGAAACGGAGGCGAGGGGGTCACATGGCTTTTCAAATTTTAGATATTTACAAATAACTTATAAAATGAATTACAACCAGTAAAATTCAGAATTTAGGAAGCGCTTCTCAATGAACTGAAATGAATGTGGTTAAACTCGAATAAATCAAACCACTACGGCCAACAGAGTACTGTGAAATCTTCAATTTTGACAGTTTGCAGAATGCTTTTTTTTTTGAAGCGTTACTAGACGCGCAACAGTGAATCTCAGAGATATCACCTTCTTTCCCAGCCTTTTACCAACGATTTACCCTCCCCAGCAAAGTTTTTTTTTAAAGGTATGGGGAAAGGGGTGTCACGATACAAAAATAAATAAGTAAGTCCTGTCCCAATTCAAGCGGGGATTCATGCCCAGGGTAACCACTGTACTCACTTGTACCCCAGAGCCTTGTCCACTTCGGGCGCCCCTCCAGCTCCAAAACAACTACCAAGGAAGAGGAAGAGCCACTCTCTACCTGGCTCGGGCTCCGCCTCCCCGAAGTAGGGAAGGGCCCTATTGAGCAGCACACCTGAAACAGGTAAAGCAGCAAGTAAACACCCACTTTTGTCCAGTGTAAAACGCCTAATTTATAAGTATTCCAGGACAAAAATAACAAAACTATTGGGCTGGCAACCAGGGCAAGGGCTCCGCTTCACTAAATCAGTCTCCTAGTGACATTTGTAAGAAATCTGACTTTCCTAAGTGGGGAACACCAACATAGACGGTCCCTACTAGAGCCGGCCTGCAGTTCTGTGGTTTGTTGGCAACAGGCGTGACCGCGCACGGGGTGCTAGGCGGTGGCGGTGACGGCACTGCACGGGACTGAAGCGTCGGGGTTCTGGGAAGGGCGCCCCCGACCCGGCGCGGACTCCGCTGGGGGCTTTACGTTTAAGGCTGCGCACGCCCAAGAATCCCGGGGGGTTTTGTCCTCGTGGACACTTGAAAGCTGAGAAAGGGCGTGTGGTCTCAATTGTGAGACATGGCTGGTCTTCAGGGTCTTACCCTAAAGAAACTGAAACCAAACCTATTGGCTTCCAGTGGATTGTGACTCATAGCGACCCTTCAGGACAGAGTAGAACTGCCCATAGGATTTCCAGGGAGCGGCTGGTGGATTCGAACTGCTGACCTTTTGGTTAGCAGCCGAGGTCTTAAGCACTGGCCACCAGGGCTTCAGGGTCTTACCCTGCTCCCCCGGAACTGCCGAGCCCCGTCCTGGCCCGCCCAGACCGCCAGCTCTCAGGCTCTGGTCGCCCACTCCCGTCACGTGGTCCAGGTAGGCAGGTTTTCTCCCACCTCGCCCAGTCCTCGCCTCACAGCAGGTGAGTCAACTCCTGCCACGCTGCAGTGCAACGGCCAGCGTTCCTACGGTTTTGAACAGAACAGAAACCTATGGGTCCCTTCCAGCGCTCACATCTTGGCTGGCAACATTCACGCGCGGTCGAAGCCGGGGGGAGAGCCGTGAAGGTGGAGTCCCACCCGCGTCCCCCCGCCTCTGCTCCTTCAGGTGACTCGCAGACCCGGCCCGCGGTCGGTCACGTGACCGCCGCGCGCCCGCCCCGGGGCGGAGCTAGAGCCCGAACTGCGCCGGCGCGCGGAAGCCGGACGCTCCTAATGCGCCTGCGCCGCGGGCAGAGTGGTTCCGGCCGGTGTTTCTGCCTCGGTTTGGACCTGTGAGTACGTGAGAAGATGGCAGAGCAGGTGCCCAAGTCCGTGCTGTTTGTATGTCTGGGTAAGAGGGTGCTGATTTAACCCCACTGCTGACGTTCAGTGGAGGGTTGGATGTGGGCCGCTTGCGCTGTGGGCTACGCCGCTGAACCAGGAAAAGTGAGCGGAAAGAGGCCTGGGAGCGGAGATGGAGACCTTGGGAGTGGAATGCGGGCGACCTGGGTCCTTCCTCCCTGCCTTGCACGTGCAGAGCCCTCTCCTCACACCGGCGCTTCCCTTATTGCCCGCACCTAGAATCCCCGCTTCCTGCTCCGTAGTGCCTGCATAGACTGCCTGCCTGATACCCTTTAATGTGTATGATGCACTCCTGATGTCCTGAGTTCCGTGAAAACACGGCTTAGCTTGCGAGTTTCCCGTGGCCCGTGCTTAAAGATGGAGCTGAGCTAACAGTGCTTTGAGTCGAAAGGTTCCTGATTTCTTGGTTGTAAAAGCCAGGCCATGGAGACCTTAGTTCAGATACCTTTGTAACGTTGGCCCCTGACCCCATCTGCCGGTGTCCCGGTTTCTGCACATGACAAATGAAGGTCATTTATATTCATAATCTCTCAGGTGCTCTCCAGCTCAGAAATATTTTCATTTTTAGAATTTCAGTACTTGGCCCCCTGTGTTCATAACAGAGTTCGTTTTGTGTTTTCACGATTCTTCCTTTGCGGTAGCACTAAATGATTCTATTCCTCAGTGCTTCCACTCCTTAACTCCCGAGAGAGGACGGCCTAATTTATCAATGGTCGGGTTACTTTAAAATCTTCTGTTGGGTCTACACTTTGTACAGAATAATGTTCCAGCCCCATTTTTCAGTGCATTCCTCAAAAAGACTGATAGAAGTCCAGCCTAGCCTTTTCCAGTCTATTTCCATTACCTCCCCCCACACCCTCTGGGCACTACCTGTCCAGGACGAAATGCGTGCCTTAGCACATCAGACAGACTTTTAATGTGCCTTTGATTAGGTGGTCATTTTTCTCTGGGTGACTACTTGGCGTTTTGCCTGAAAAGCCTTTTTATATTATAAGGTCAAACTTAAATGTTTATTTTCCCAGACCCTCCAGGTGTAATTCGTTGCTTCATATGGCCCTTTAGATTGTTAGCTGCTGTTGAGTCGCCCGGACTCCTGGGGACCCCATGCACAGTGTGATCTGACCATTGGGATCCATAGCATTTTCATTGGCTGGTTTTTTCAAAAGTAGATCCCCAGGCCTTCTTAGTCTGTTTTAGTCGGGAAGCTCTGCTGAAACTTACTCAGCATCATAGCGACAGTCACGCCTTCGCTAACAGAACGGTGTGGCTGTGCTGCAGATACACTGGCTGGGAATCAAACCCGGGTCTCTTGCATGGAAGGAGAGGATTTTACCGCTGAACCACCGTTGCAGCTCTGTGGCCCCTTATAACCGAAAAAAAAAACCAAACTCCTTGCCGTCGAGTCAATTCCGACTCACAGCGACCTTTTATTACACACATTTTGTTAAAACTGTTGAAATTCCAGCTCCATTTAACTTTCTTAAGGACACGGTCCATGGCTTATTTTTCTGTTTCCATTTTTAGGGCGATATCTGACACTCATTAGGTTATTTGTAGAATTGAAGTTTTATGAGAGAAAGTAAAAGCATTACCTTGTCCCGCCTTAATAGTAGGCTGTGTTTGGATTTCTGAGATCTCCACCGAAGGCTGACATGGATTCAGCAAATGTATTAAACAGCAGTCCTGCTCAGGTTGGGTACCTCATAGGATTCCATTGCCTTGTTTACTTTTACTTCATGTTGTTGATTATGCCAGTGTAATGCACCAGACCAAAAACCAAACTCAACTGCCGTCAAGTTGATTCTGACTCATAGCAACCCTATAGGACAGAGTAGAACTGCCCCATAGGGTTTCCAAGGCTGTAAATCTTTACAGAAGCAGACTGCCA